TGTGCCACCGACGGCGTTGTGTCGTTTTACGACCGAATCTCATATATCCTCGGCAATTCAAACTTAACTGAATGTGATTAATAATCTACTGAATAAATCACATAAAAATGCTCGAGAAAAAGGAACTTAACATACTGAACAAGCGAGTACGGCTCGTGGTGCGCTATGTGCGCAACCACGTCACCTTTGGCCGCAACACCACAAACATGATTAATCATCCGAACACTTAAGTTAAACTAAACATGATTTTGCATATAAAGGCTAAATATGCGAGGATAGTTCGGAGGATTTAACTTAGAACATAACATGATCGGCACGGCTTCTCGCACGGCTTTTACCACACCTAACACGCATGCACGTCTAACTGAAAATCGAACTTAATAAACATGATAATCTCGGTCAACAACCGTCGGGAATTACCTTCGATTATGCCCGAGTGACTACTCTTTTCAAATTCCCGTACTCGGCCGTGACCCTCCACTTGCGTGCGTGCGGTCTGTGCGCGACGGACTACTACTACGCGACGGGTGCTTGCGTACGCCTGATTGCCGTGCGGTGCTTGCTGCTTGCGTACGATTAACCGTGCGGTGTGCGATAGCTCGGGTGCGCGATGGCTTGTGGTATAGCGATTAGGTAGTACTTGCACTAACTTATGCACAATACTTAAGAATCCTCACACAAAGCTTCACTCAACTCTCGGCAATTTGGGATACTAGATGAAGAAAATGAGGCAAATTTCCCCAAACTCCTCTCTTTAGTACTAAAGGCTCCGAATGGTATGGTGTGGAGAATTAATCTCCTAATGCCACTTGGTACATGCATAACTAAAGTTTAAATGACTAAGCACTCACTTGCTTGGGAAGGTGCCACGTTAATTACTACATAATGGAGAGGATTTGTGGACAATTTCCCACTTACAATGCACGGCATTTTGGATTATATTGGAAGAAATTTGGACCAAATCATTAATATATGTCACTTAATACATACGACATTATGGAGGAAAAAATTTGGAAAATACGAACGATTAAAAATACTAATCTTGGATTAATTGTTAATTAATTCCTCAATTATGTTTAATTATTAAATTAAACATAATGCTTAATTACCAAATTATTCCGAACGTAAACGGTACGTCGAAAATAATTTCCGGTAATTTCGACTGAACTGACTGAAAATAATTAATTCCGAAAATTAATATCGGAACTAAAAATATAATTTATACTGAAACTGACGGGATATTACAATCCTCCCTCCTTACAAAATTTCTGTCCTCGGAAATTCAAAACATAACTGAAATTACATAAACTATGTACATAGAACAAGGAAATATGTACATCAAAATTGAAATTTGGAAAACGAGCGCGAATATCGGACTCCTCCTCCCAATTAGCTCCGTGGCGATCCCACTGAATACGCACGAGGGAAATATCTCGCTTCCGGAGCCGACGAACCAGACAGTCTAATACAGCTACCGGTCGCTCCTCGTACGAAAGATCTGGCTGAACCTGAATATCTGAGTGGGGAATAACATGATCGGGGTCGCACACGTACTTACGCAACATCGATGCGTGAAATACATTATGAATGCCTGATAACTCAGGAGGTAGGGCTAATCGATACGCGACCTCGCCTACTCGCTCGAGAACCTCAAACAGACTGATGAATCGAGGGTGCAGCTTTCCTCTCTTTCCGAATCGCACAACTCCGCGAATCGGACGATCTCGGAAAAAGGCTGGCTCGCCAACCTCGAACTGAATGTCTCGTCGATGATGATCGGCGGAAGATTTCTGTCGACTCTGCGCTGTCTTAAGTATCTGCCGGATCAATTCGACCTGATCAGCTGTCTCTTCGATCAACTTAGGACCGAGTACTCGTCGCTCTCTGACGTCGTCCCAATAGAGAGGGGAACGACACTTGCGACCGTAAAGTGCCTCGTAAGGAGCCATCTGAATGGAAGAATGGTAGCTGTTGTTATACGCGAACTCGGCGTACGACAATAACGACTCCCACTTAGCACCCCTGTCAACAACCAAAGCACGAAGCATATCCTCAAGCGTCTGAATAGTCCGCTCTGACTGACCGTCTGTCTCCGAATGATAGGCTGAACTGAACTCTAAGTTCGTATCCCATCGCCTCGTGTAAGCTGTGCCAGAATCTGCTGACGAATCTGGGATCTCTGTCTGATACAATAGTGACGGGCACTCCGTGGAGTCGGATGATCCCACGGGTATATATCTCAGCCAACTTGTCCAGAGACATCTTCATCGAAACGGGTAAGAAATGCGCGACCTTAGTCAATCTGTCGACCACAACCCAGATAGCGTCGTGATGTTCAGATGACCTCGGCAATCCCGTAACGAAATCCATCGTGACTTCCTCCCACTTCCACCTCAGAATCGGCAGTGGCTGCAAGAGGCCAATCAGACTCTGATGTTCGGCTTTAACTTGCTGACAGGTAAAACATCTCCTGACGAACTCGGCGACGTCCTTCTTCATGCCTCGCCACCAGAACGACCCTTTCAGGTTGTGATACATCTTCGTGCTCCCGGGATGAGCCAGATAGGGTGCGGTATGGGCCTCTGATAGAATCTCCTTCCGCAACGCCTCAACTTTCGGGACCATGATCCTGCCCCTGAACTCTAGGGCACCATCAGCACCTAGTTGAAAACCCTCGACGCCTCCGGCGCGAACCTTGGCCTCCATGACACGAACGAACTCGTTAGAAGCCTGCTCCCACCGGATTCTCTCTCTCAGCGTCAGCTGAAGCTGAATTGCACTGACACTGACACTGGTACTCCCCGAAACTGTTATGGGAAGTGCATCAATCGCCTGAAGCTGCATCCGGGCAAACTCCTGAATCAACGGACTCTGCTGAGTAATGACGTACGTCAAGTCACCCCTCACCTTTCGGCTTAGGGCATCAGCAACGACGTTTGCCTTTCCCGGATGATACTGAATCGAGCAGTCGTAATCCTTGACGAGCTCTAACCAACGGCGTTGTCTCATGTTGAGCTCCTTCTGAGTAAAGATATACTGTAAGCTCTTATGATCTGTGAAAATCTCACAATGACCGCCGTAAAGATAGTGTCGCCAAATCTTGAGAGCATGAACGACTGCTGCTAACTCCAAGTCGTGCGTCGGGTAGTTCTGCTCATGAGGCTTAAGCTGACGGGAAGAATACGCAATGACCTGGCCATCCTGCATAAGGACGCATCCCAAGCCCTGTCTCGAAGCATCGCTGAAGATGGTAAAGCTCCAAGAAGGATCGGGAATAGTCAACACCGGTGTTGAAGTTAATCTCCTCTTGAGCTCCTGAAAGCTTGACTCACATCGGTCAGTCCACTCGAACTTCACAGATTTCCTCGTCAACTGGGATAGAGGGAGGGCGATCTTGGAAAAGCCCTCGATAAACCTGCGATAGTAACCAGCTAGACCGAGAAAACTGCGAACCTCGGACGGACTCCTCGGTGTCGACCAGTTCTGAACAGCTGAGACCTTGGAAGGATCCACCTCGATACCTGCCTGAGTAATCACATGACAGAAAGGATACTCGCTGGAGCCAGAACTCGCATTTGGAGAATTTTGCGAACAACTTTTCTCGTCTAAGGGTTTCGAGAACTACCCTCAGATGCTCCTCGTGCTCCTTCTGGCTCTTCGAGTAGATAAGAATATCGTCAATAAAGACAATAACAAACTGATCGAGGTAGGGATGGAAAATATGGTTCATGAGGTCCATGAAGACTGCTGGCGCATTGCTGAGACCGAATGGCATGACAACGAACTCGTAATGGCCGTAACGAGTCCTGAAAGCGGTCTTAGCGATATCTGACTCCTTAATCTTCAGCTGGTGGTAGCCTGATCGTAAATCAATCTTTGAGAATACACAGGCTCCCCTCAACTGATCAAATAAGTCGTCGATCCTGGGAAGCAGGTACTTGTTCTTGATCGTCAACTGGTTAAGATCCCGGTAGTCGATACACATGCGCATGGATCCGTCCTTCTTCTTAACAAAAAGAACGGGTGCTCCCCAAGGTGACACGCTCGGTCGGATGAAACCGAGTCGTAACAGCTCCTGAATCTGCGCCTTAAGCTCCTGTAATTCCTTAGGTGCCATACGGTACGGGGCTTTGGACACTGGACCGGCTCCTGGAATGAGGTCGATAGAGAACTCCACCTGCCGGTTAGGCGGTCCTCCTGGAAGCTCGTCTGGAAATACGTCCACAAACTCTCGAACGACTAGAACATCGTGAGGTGAACGTGCTTTCTGAGAATCATCGACAAGGCTTACCAGATAACCCTGGCAGTTGCCTCATCGCAGTAACTTAGTGGCTTTCGCTATCGAAACAACATGAGGAAAAGAACGATTTCTGGAGCCGAAGAAAGTAATCGACTCGTCTCCCGAAAGATAAAGCGTAATCTCCCGTTCGTGGCATCTGATATCCGCATGATAAAAACATAGCCAATCCATTTCGAGAATAAGGTCGAAATCCCTCATCTCGAGAACAAACGCGACGGTAGACAAAACTCGACCACCGATGGAAAGGCTAAGATCTGAAGCTTTAGCTGAAGTTACCATCTTTCGTCCTGAGGCCAAGCTCACCTCAAGAGGATCGATAGCGGTAGTAGCGCGAACTCCGATGGCGTCAAGACATTGTTGTGAAATGAAAGTATGTGTCGCTCCAGTATCGAATAAAGCAAACAAAGGAACATTATTAAGAATAACCATTCCGGACATGGTACCTGGCTGCTGCTCGGCCTCAGCCTGATCGACGGCATAAACTCGGGCCTGCTGCCTGCCCCTCTGCTGCTGCTGCTGAGGCTGCCTCTGTGCCTGCTGACGGGGCTGCTGCTGCTGCGGTGGCTGCTGAGGCTGCTATGCCTTCTTCGGACAACGGTTCGCGAAGTGTCCGGGCTCCTGACAATTGTAGCATACATTCTGGCCAAAGCGACACTCGCCTCTGTGAAGTCGTCCGCATGTCGGGCACTGAGGGATCTACTGAAGCCTCCGTCGGGTCCTCTTATCTGTCGGGGCACCTTTCCCTTTCCTCTTGTTGTTCTTCTGTGGCTGGGTAGATGGTAGAGCTGGCATCGGTGGAACTGAAGATGACTGAGCGGGGGCGGATGGCTGGAACTGGTCACGAACGGCCTCCCTCCTAATGCTGGCGTCCACCTCCTGGGCAATGGAGACTGCACGTGCGTACGTCTGTGTCCTGTGGCCTACGATGTTATGATGGACTGCTGGGTAAAGCCCGTCAATAAAACGCTGTGCTCGCTGGGCCTCCGTGCGGACCAAATCAGGAACGAAAGCTGCAAGTCTCGTGAATTCCCTCTCGTACTCGTCAACAGTACGAGTACCCTGCTGGAGCGATAGAAACTGACGCTCCATCTCGGCTCGGTAGTATGTGGGGTAATACTTCTCGCGGATTAAATCCTTGAACATCTCCCACGTACATCCCGCCTTCTCGCCGGGACGCATACTCCAGTAAGCGTTCCACCAGAGCCTGGCATCACCGGTGAGCTGAAGCTGAGCGCAAATGACGCGATATCTCTCAGGGCACTCCATGACCTCGAAGATAAACTCCAGGCCCTGAATCTACTCGTCAACTATGCGAGGATCTCCCTGCCCTGAGAACTTTTCGGCATGATAGTCGCGGAACTGGGCGACCACTGTAGCCCGAGTAGGAGCCAGATGATCGGCTCCCTACGTGGCGACATCTGAACATTGAGAAAGTTCAAAATTATTGAACACATGATGATATTCTGACTGCTTACTTAGGCACACAAATCTCTTGACGAGTTGCCAAAATGGCCGATAATTACTGACGTGAAACCTGAAGAACTCTAGAGTCATATCGGAAGATACTAAAGTCTAGAGTCATGTCTGAGTATACTGATCTCTAAAGTCATGCCTGAATATACTGAATTCTAGAGTTATCTCGGAACTCTAAAGTCTGAACCTGATTCGAGCATCTTAACTAAGTCTGATTACTGATTTCTGAGCATAGACAAAGTAATATGTTTATAACTGAAAAACTGAATCAGCACTTACCTGGAGTCGGCGGGGCGTGAGCGTGACGGTTCAGGTTTTCTGAAAATTACTGACTGAAAGTCTTTTCAGAGACGCAGAAACGTGCTCTGATACCAATTGTAACACCCCAACATTTTACTATATCAGAGTACGCAATTTTTTGCAAATTTACTGAATAAATAAGTAAAACATTAATTATTGCGAAAACTGATTCGGGATACTACCGTGAGAAACTTGATTTTCTAAAAACCGTAAAATTTCTAAACTGATAAATAAAAACGGTTATACTGTTTTATCCGACTAATGTCAGAACAAAAACTGAATATAAGTACTGAAAGTTTTAGCGGAAACCAAACGTGGCAAAAACATATACACAATAATTACAAATGTCCTGAACCGCCCGCCCGCTCACTCCTCGTCTCCGACCCTGCGACCTGAAAAACATGAAATGCGTGGGGGCGTGAGCACTAAAACACTTGTGCTCCGCAGAAACTCATACTAATGTAAACCTCGTAAATAATAACAATATCATGAACTAAGCATATATAACTAAATTGAAACTGAAACTGATATCTGATACCGGTCGGATCTCGCGACATAAGTCACGTAACTGATAACTGAAATCTGTCGGCACAAACTAATACCGCAATCTCCCGGCACAAACTAATACCGGACCATGTGCACACTCTAGTGGT